CCGAAGCCCCCGCCCCCTGCCGATAATTCCCTTCCTAGCTCTCAAAGGGCCCCCTCCGATATTGGAGAAAGCCCTTTGAGAGCTCGGAAGGCTCTCAGCGGCAGCGGGGGAAGGGTACCGGGGTGTCGAAGGCTTCCAGGCCTTTGCCTGGAAGCTTTGCGGACACCCCCCCACCCTGTCCCCACCGCCGGCAGCCTCCCCACGCCGCTTACCCTGGCCGTTCTCGGACGCCTGGAAGTCCGAGAACGGCTGGGGAAAGCGACACGGGGAGGCTTCAAGCGGTGGCTGCAGGGTGGGGGGGTGTCCGCACCCAGCCTCCCCCCACGGCTTGGATCTCTAGGGAGTCCAGCCATGGCTGAGGTAGCCGCCGTGGGTCAGATCCAAGCCGCGGGGAGAGGGAGAAAACCGGATAATCCGTTCCAATTGGAACGGATTAACCGGTTTTCAATGCATTCCTATGGGAAACGGTGCTTCACATAACGATGTTTTCACATAACTTTTTTTTCCGGAACCAATTAACATTGTTATGCGAGGCACCACTGTACATTGTTACTATTTTAAAAATCACAACTAGATAACCCTTTGCCCAAATGTCTCCAAATTTGATACAAAGCAAGAATAGGCTTTTTTGCTATACCTGTGCCAAATTTAGTGCTGATCTGAGGACTACTTTCATATTTATTTTTTTATTTATCTTCTGATTTTGCTTGTAGAATTCTTTTTGTTTTGCTTGAGCAAAATTTATATGCAAAGCAGGAAAGAAGCAGGGAGGGAAAGGGGAGTGAGGAAATGATAGTGGCTGCAAGAGTGAAACAGACCATGACAATTGGAGGAAACAAGACAATGGTGACAAGGTAAGTATGAAATGGAAGGAAATGGGAAAAGGAAGAGATATGGACGTGGTGGCAGAAGAAGTGGAGATGGGGTGGAAGAAATTGTGGCAATAAAAAAACAGAAGGCAGTAGTGATCCAATGGAACTGACATTCTCTTCCTGCCTCAGGCAGTAGGAGAGCTTGGACCCAGAGCCAAGCATTTTTCAACACCTTGTGAGACCACGCAATCTCTATGAAAAATACTAACTGCACTACTCAAAATGAATTGGGGCAGCCCTTCTCCCTCATCATCACACTTTGAATCCAGATGGGATGTGAACTGCTTGATGAACATCACTTTGTGTTTGCAAAATACCACAAACATGAGTGTTCAGTTATTCAAGATTAAGAATAAATGGAGTCTAACACAACATTAAACCAGAGCATGACCTGAACACATATTGCTGAAACTAAGAGGGTTAAGATCTGGTCAGTGTTTGAATAACAGTCTGTCATTCAAGGTGGTATAATAATGTGAGAAATAAACAAAACATTAGAAATAGTCCAGTGTTATTCATTAATTCCCAGTTATTGTACTGGTTATATACTGAGACATATTTTTTCTGGTTCAGTAGTTTTAAAATCTTACCTACTGAAATTCCACTAGAAAGAGTAGAGCTTTCTGCCTGTCCCTGAGATGGGGCATGTGATTCCATGACACTATCGTCTAAAAGATGTCTTGGTCCTGCATTTGGAAATGTTGCACTTTTAAATTCTGCTGTGTTCATCTTATGAATGAAACTAGAAAAAATCCAAAGGATATAAATATGAATTACATGATTGCTTTAAGGCATTAAGACAATGAGAATACATTTTTGAGCACTTCTTAGCACCTGTAATATTTTTAGCCTCTCCACAAAAAGCATGGCAAAAATACATTACTGAAGGTGGAATTTACATTTTATATTCTGAACTTGGGCACAAGATGTATCCATGTTCAAGTAAATATACAAGTGTTATGTCCGCAGTGATTACCACTCACATGAGCAAATGACTGAGCTTTTCCTGAAGAACTTGCTCCTTGGTGCACAACATGCATTGCTGTGTGTTTATTTTGAAATTTAATTTAGTAAACCTTTGAGAATCCATTCCCAAGCCATGAGAATGAGATGGTAGGACTTGAATCTTAATTTAAATTATATCAATTCATGAGACACTATGAGATCTTCCTAACAGTAACATAATCAGTACAGAACAGAACTGCACAAATTGTGACCCAGAACGCCAGACAGAATCCACCAAATACAGTGGACCCTTGACTTACAGACAGCTCCACATACAGTCTTTTTGAGTTACAGACTTCTCTGGCTGCAAAGTTTAGGTTTAACTTGCAGCCGGAGAATCGACCTACAGACCGGGAAAATGGAACAAAAACGAATAGTTACGGATTAATTGGTTTTCAATGCATTGTAGGTCAATGGAGCCTCAACCTTTTGACTTGCAGCCACCGTTCCAATATGGATTAATTCTGTAAGTCGAGGGTCCACTGTATGTACTATGGCCTGACGCAAGCTTCCTAAACACATTGCTCTTGCAAGCTCCTTAAAGTGGAGGCCAGATGCAGAGAAAGCACTCCTGTAAAATTTGTTTTTAAAAGGCCCCTTTGCCTATTTTAAAAATGTACAAATGAACCAAGAAATATTTCAGCAACTTTATGCACACTCAATGCTAAAATCAAATTGGGAAAAAAAAAAGAGAGACAGAAAATTTAAAGCAGGGATGGGCAACATGCAGTCAGTGGGCTGCTTGTAGCCCTCCCCAGAGGCTCAAACGGGGCTCCCAACACCCCTGGGGACCCCCACACATCCCCCATATTTTAAACTGGCTGCAAGCAAAGGTCCAAAGTTTCCTTTTGTGACCTCTAGGAAGTCATGTTTTGAGGGGTCCCACAGGAAGCATCCCACCCTTAATGGTTAACTTTTTAAAAACACATGCTTTGTCTAGGGTACATGTGGGCTTTTGTAGTTAAAAACATTTTTGTAATAAAAGAATTTTTTGTTGCAAGGGTTACAACAGTGGCCCTCCAAAGTCCAGAGATGGGTGTGTGTAGTCCTGGTCCTTCAGAAGATTTGTGTCTCATGATATTAAACACAGTTCCTAGCACACTGTGTATTACACAGAGTATAAATTTCAAATAAAATTCTGACTTGTATCCTAAACTGTGACATTTCCTATGCCCATGTGGTATGAGGTTCTGAGGGGATGGAGGAGTTGGTGGTAGCAATGCTCCTTCAGTTGTACCACTTTTTCGTACACTTTGTGGAGAAATCCCCACTTCAGCACCTAAAAAAGAAAAGCACAAGAAGTTCCAGTTGAACTGAATACAATACATACTTATGGCTACACTTATGACATTTTATGTCGAAAACCAGAACTGACAACTTTTGAAATGGTGTATTTCTTATGAACAAATTACTTTAATTTGTTTGTACATATTACACACTAAGAATGGATATCATAAAGATACATTCAGTGCTTGTTCCTATGAAAGTAAATCCACTGAAAACAATGGAATGTATGTTACTTGCAACTAACAAGTCTCAGTCATTTTGGTGGGTCTACTCTAATTGAAATTAACTTTAGAATTAACCAAGTTTCAATGCCTCTGCAGAGTAGCATTCAAACTGAGTTCTGACAAGAAAAGATGCTCATGCCAATTGGCAAAGACCTTTCTCTTTGGGCAAACTTGCCCTCAGTGACTGGCTGTCCAACTGGGATTTTTGAATTGCATGTTATTTTTACTACTTTGAATGTGTTTTACTATGGTTTTTGTTTAGCATTTCTCAGAGTGCTGTTTGTTTGATTAGTATATAGGCTGGAACCTTTAAGGAAGCTTCTTTCAGGCGACAGAGTCAATTTATTCACAACAAAAAGCAAGAGTCAAGGCCAAATCTTGGAGGAGATTCAAATTCAACAAGGCACAAGACAAGGGTGCCCCTTATCTTGCTGTTCATTTTGACATTAGAAATATTAAACAGACAAATAAGGTGACATTCCAGAATTAGGGGGTTGAGAATAAAAGGAGAGGAATATAAATTATAAGCTTATGCTTATGACTTGGTACTATTGCTAGAAAACCCGAAGGAATTGATTAGATAATTAATATCCACAACTGAAAACTTTGGTGCAGTATCAGAACTTAAACTGAATTATGAAAAAAGAACAAAATTTTGACAAAAAATGTGACACAGGAAGAAGCAGAAAAATTAGAATTAGAAACTGGCTTTGAACATACATAGAAAATTAAATATTTGGGAGTTTATATTTAAAAAAAACCCAAGTAGCTTGAAAGATAATTATCTCCCAATATTTTTTAATATTTTTTTATTTCTATAACTATAACAAAAACAAATCATATACATAAAACATATAAACTCAAACACAATAACAGTGTTCCCCACCACCATATACGGGACCTCTTGCCATATTCTTCTTTTTCTTCCTTCTTCTTCTATTGTCTTCTTCTCCAGAACTGCATAGATTCTTGATTTGGAGCTTTCCCTTTCCCCCTTATTAAGACATATTCCAAAAATTTGCCCCATATTACATAAAAATTGTTCTTTTTCAACTCTCCTTTCTTCATCTTTAAATTACAAGTTAATTTATCATTTAATGCTATATTCCATATTTCTTTATACCATTCAATTTGTAATTCAGTCTTTAATTTCCATTGTCTAGCAATAATCAATCTAGCTGCTGTTATTAAATTAGTTATCAGTTCTTTAGTCATTTTGTCATATTCCACGATCTCATATATTGATAACAGAGCAATCTCAGCCTTACATTCTATATCTTTTCCACACATACAACTTAATTCTTTGAAAATTTGTTTCCAAAATCTTTGTACCTTTTCACATTCCCACCACATATGAAAGTATGTACCAACTTCTTTCTCACATTTCCAACAGACATTCGGATGACTGATG